GCGTCCTCCACTGAGGAGGAAGAGGTGTTGGAAGAAGCCGACATACTGGGGACCGGGGGTCACCCAAGCGGATCAAGATGAATGGAGTTACTAGCGACCAACAGGGGTAGTCAAGATGACTGGCACTGTTGAGAGCAGTTGTTTATAGCTGAACTGGAAATGCATGGAGTGAATGAAGATGCTTGAGCTAAAACGCAACATGGCGGCCATGTTGTGGCTTGCAGGTCTAATTCAAAAACAGCCTCTGACATGAGCAAACACACTCAAGACAAAAAAAGTTTTTTCCCCTCTGCCGTTCTAGTGGCCCATAGAGGCACACCAGTGCTGAGTACCCCCTCAGCCTTGGGGCAACCATCTGAAGTCGCGGTTACCTGGCCAAGCAGCCAAGTATGTAACATTGCTCCTGCACTTCCGCTGGGATGTTGGTCAGTGGCTGAGCAGCCTGATTGTCATTGGAGTACCAGCAAGTTGCCTGATCATGCATGAAGGCCGCGACTCTGTAGTGTCCTGAGTTTTGGGCGGGACCCAGGTGCACAATGGCAGTGGTGATGTCATAACGTTTCCAGCTGACCTCCGAGCCATGTTGCGATGTGAATACAGGGAGCAATATTTCCTTGCCGTTAAGGTCAATAGGGATGGTATGCTTCACAATGCCATTGGGGGTCTCCCTATATCTGGGAAGTTGGATGTAGATATGTTGAGGGGCACTACGCAGCGCATGAGTGTGTGCTTGTGCATGCCACTGATTTATGAACTGCTGGATGTCTGAGCAGCACAGTCCATCGGGGGTGATCATGAGTAGAATTCTTACTTGACCGCTATGTATGAACTCTTCGACCTGGCCTTCAGCTTGTATGCGAGCGCCCCAGGAGAATCCATCACCTAGCCAACCAAGCTTAGGCATGAGAAATTGTATGACCTCTGCCGCATCATGCTGGACAAGGGGTTGTCTCCATCCGAGAAGCTGAAACCTTAGAAAGTTGACTGGATTCCAATCTTGGCCCGTCACCGCCCTGATCCAGGCATCGGGGATGCGCACATCGACCCGTTGGGATGCCTGCCACAGGATTGAGAACACAGTGGAGTTAATATAGCAGGTGTTGCTACTGTTTCGCATTTTCATGCGAACTAGATCCCTGGACATCCCTCGTGGCGCTGGCCTCCTTTCCCTGCTGGCACCACCGCTGGAGCCGTCTACTCGGCCTCCAAGGCCTTCTGGAGCACAGCTGCCAGACCGTGTCTTTTCAGGGATGGTGGGTGCATTTGCGCTGCCACAAGGTTCCACACCGTGCAGTTGGCTAGCTGTGACATCAACTCCTGCGCTCGGTGTGCTTCCTGGGATCTCAGGGCAACTTCTACCACGAATACGGCTTTTTCGTTCTCCTCTGGTTCTCGCTTCATCTTGCGCACCGAGTTGAATTTTGCGATGATGTTGTCCTTGCAGTGTGTTCCCAATTCCTGGAGGAGCTGCTGGATCTGTTCCACGCTTAGAACGTTGCGGTCTGGATCTATCTCGAGTTTTTGCTCCTTGGGATTCCATTTCTGGAACACGAACTGCTTGCTGGGGTTCATCATCTCGCGCTCCACTGCGGCCTTGATTGCATTGGGATCCTGGGCGAAGAGGGTCAACCTGGCCTTGGTCTCCGACACTAGCAGTGCGAACACTACTGTGCGAAGGGCCGGAAGCGGCCCCCTTCTTCTCGTGCCACGATCGTC